CTCCGCCAAACAACGTGACAAAGATCCCACCTGCCAGATTAGCCTCCCCGCTCCTTCTCCTCCTCCCGCGCCTCCTATCACTCCTTCTCCCACTGCTCCTGCTCCTCCTCCCGCTCCTCCTCCGCCAAACAACGTGACAAAGATCCCACCATAGCCATCTCCTGCCCCAAAAAAAGAAGAAAAAAGGCTGCCGCTCCTTCTCCCACTCCTCCTCCCGCTCGTCCTCCGCCAAACACGCTCCTCCTCTGCCAAACAACGTGACAAAGATCCTACCTGCTGGACGTAGGCCCCGCTTCGCACCTGCCGACGGACCGCTGTTGCACGAACTTCAACATGACGAAGATCCTACCTGCCGGAAGTAGGCTCCGCTTTGCACCTGCCGATGGACCGTCGTTGCATGAACTTCCCGCCGCCGGTTGCAGCCGAGTTTTGGTTCGGCCTGCCTGGTGGGCCCGTCGGTTCGGGCCCGGCGCGTTCCCGACACAGGAATCGGGGTCTTGTGTGGGAAGGTCACGCGAGACCCGCTCCTTGCTTTCAGAGTATTGGAGAAAAAAGAAAGAAAGGGGGATTAAAAAAAAAAAAAGCAGAGGGGGTTGGTACTTGCCCTCTTGAGCTGAAATGCCAACTGCCCTACCCTGAATGTGTACAAAAAAAAAAAGGAAAACAAAAGGACAAAAACAGATCAAATCGCGATTTTCTGCACCTCACCGCAAAAAAATGTCCAGATTCAGGCGTTCAGTCCAATCCTCCTTGCGGATGAGACCTCTCCCTTAGTTCAGACACCAGCACTAGCAAAGAGGATTGGATGGAACACCTGAATCTGGACTCGTTTTAACCACAAATGCAGAAGAGCATTTCAATCTGGCATTTGTGCACCTTTCCACAACGCGTCCAGATTCAGGCGTTCAATCCAATCCTGTTTGCTAGTGGGACCTCAGTTTCAGTGTCAGACTACTAAAGGGAAAGAAGAAGGAAAATTGAAGTTTAGTGTCAGACTTGCCAGCAGCACTGCAGTCTTCCCCCGAATCCAACGTACCGTCATTATAGCTGAACTTAGACTGAAAGATACCCCAAATTCAGCTATAATGACCGTACATTGTATTCGGGGGAAGACTGTAGCACTGCAGGGGGTGTGTTAAAAAAAAAAAAAAAAAAAAAAAGAGTGTCAGACTGACGGTCAGTCAGAAACCATGCCGTTGTTCGGCAAGGAGTAGACAGGTAGATAGTAGCTGCAGGCAGAGAGCAGGTGGGGGATAGGTAGGCTAGTGATGAGAGGCAGGTGTTCCAAGGGAGAGAGGGAAAAGAGAGGGCAGGAAGAGAGGGAGGGGATTAATTTAACTAAGGTCAGACACTCCATTTGAGGTTATGGGCCTTGCTCCACCACTCACGGAATATTTGAAATGAGAAAGAATCTTATGCAAGAGCATGGGAAGATACGCCACCATAATTTTTGCTTTTTGTGCACGTGGTGAGTAGTGGAGCTAGGCCCTGTAGCTGAGCAACACCTTGTCAGGACATATGTTTTTTTTTTTTTTTTTTTTTTTTTTTTTTTT